TTGCAATATAGTTATCTTGTTTCGTTTAGTATATTTGGGAACCTAATAGATTCTTGTGGTGGTTATGTTGAAGCAACCAAAACGACCCTTTTTTCGGTTAGATATGCTCGAGGCCACCATCAAAATCAAGGATTACCCATATGGGGGTTATTCCAGTGGAGATTAGGATACCAACATATTCCTCGCCACAGATCAAAGTGATAATAGACCCCTTCTTCAACACAGAGCAATATTTGAGTTACTCGACCACAATCCATGGCAGAATTCCCTCCGTAAAATTTTTCCGTCCAACATCCTTGAGGTTGGGTTGCTCGAACTGTACCCTCGAGCTGCACACTCTGAAAAGCCTACTTGTCCCCTTGTCGAAAGTATCCTTACCTCTGCCAATCTGTGTACTTCTACTGCCAACGCTGCCAACCCTAGCCCACACCATTTAATGGCTCCATCTTTACCCCTTGACCTAACAATATCACAACTTATACACTGCCCTTAGCCAAGGTTTTAAATGTCGATGTCGATGGAAATGTCGAGGTCTCAAATTCATGGAAATATCGATAGAAGTATCGATAAAATGTCGACGTCGATGGATATTTTGTAAAAGTTAGAAAAATTAAAAAATCGTAAAAAATATTTAAATTAACAAATAAATATTTTCCTATTTATAAATTTGTTAAAAATAATTCATATTAATATTATGTACATATTAGTGATATTTTGTTGATATTTTTTATATTTTGTTGACTTCCTTATACTATGATGGAAATGTCGATTTATCTCTCATGTCGATGTCGAACCCATGGAAATATGGATATGTCGATGGAAATTTCAACGTATTTATGGATATTTAGAACCATGCTCTTAGCACAAACCTTTCTGACAACTTTTCTACACTCTTACCCTCCTTAGCTATCTCTTTCACAAAACCCCAACCCAACTTTAACACCTCTACCCCACCCCCCACAAAGAAAATGATGTCCAACAAGAAGGAAAGCAGGGTAATCATCAGGAATCATCAGGGAATTAAAGGGGCTTTCTTCATCCATCAACTATGACAAGAGAATAGGTGGGTCGACCTCAAACTAGATGATCATCTTGTCTTGGAATGCCAGAGGTTTAGACTCTTGGAAAACAAGAGCACTCATAAAGAATCTCATCCTCAAATAAAACCCCACCATTGTCGTCTTGCAAGAGACGAAACTGATGCATACTGATTGGCTTACCATCAAATCTCTCTGGACCTCTAAAGACATTGGATGGACCACATTGGGATCTAATGGAGCATCAGGGGTATTCTCATTATGTGGAACGACCCATCCTTCCAAGTCTCAGATATAACCAAAGGTGTGTTCTCCCTAACCCTCCTCATCTCTCTCACGGATGGTTCCAGTTTCTGGCTTTCAAGAGTCTATGGTCCATCCCAAACAGAAGACAAACTTTTATTTTGGCGTGAACTGACTAATCTCTCATATCTTTACTCTTACACTTGGCTTATGGGAGGTGACTTTAACTCGATCAGATGGACGAAGGAGAAATCGACTTACGAAAGACAATATGAAACACTTTAATGACTTCATTGAACAAGCTGCACTACAAGAAATTCCTCTATCCATTAGCCTTTAGACTTCCGACTTTAGAGAGTCCCATCCTCACTCTTATCGACAAATTTGTGGCCACGGAGACCTTTACTACGAAATTCTAGAACGCTTTTACCAAAAGACTGAACCGTCCTACTTCTGATCACTTCCCAATCCTTCTCTCCTTCGGCTTGCACAAATGGGCCCCACTCCATTCCAGTTTGAGAACATGTGGTTGCAACATTGTTTATTTCCCCAACTGGTCGAATATTGGTGGGCTAAACCTACTTTGAGAGGCTGGCCAGGACATGGCTTTATACAGAAGTTGAAGGGCTTGAAGGCAGTCATCAAAACATGGAACGAGTCTACTTTCCGCAGCATCAACTTACAAGAAGCCAACTCCAGATGGAGCTTTCTATCCTAGACAATTTGGAGGAATAAGGGGAGTTACTACTTGTCCAAAACACAATTTAAATCCATCAAATCACTGAATCACTGCTTCTTTCAGTAGCTGCCAAAGAGGAAATAATTTGGAGACAACGATGTAAATCCAGATGCTACACGAAGGTGTTCTAAACACTTCATTTTTCCATTGAGTAGTGGTTGCAAAGAGAAGGAGGAGCGCTATTACTAAGGTTTAATCTGAAAATGGTAAGAGCCTTCTCAATGAAAACGAGATTGTAGAAGAATTTCTAACATTTTTTCACAGATTGTATACAGAAAAGGAAGGCAGCAGATTTCTCCCTCACCCTATTGATTGGAACCCAATCTCTCCCCAACAAAGTGCTGATATTGAAAAGCCCTTCTCGAAGGAAGAAATTTGGAGAGCAGTTAATGATCTGGGTGCACACAAAACCCAATCTCTCCCCAAAGAATAATTACAAAACAAATTAGAATTGAAGAGCCCAGGAGAAATATTGAAAAAAATACACATTCCGCAAACCCTCCCAAAAACCATCTTTTCTGAGGAACACTCATCTGTTTATTTCCAGGAGAGTGTTCCAAAATCAATTATTGGAAATAGAATTCTTCCGATGATTCTAAAAATAAGTTACTGTTCACAAGATCGATTTGAAGAAACAGCGGTACAATTGATAATTAGCTAAAAAGTTCTATCAACATCAGGTTTTAAAAGACATTAAACATGCTGGTAGGTGAGTATACATACATCATGTTGTTTTTTCATCAAACAATTATGTCCAAATATCAATAAGAACAAAATGAAAATAGTTCCAAAAAATTAATGACTAATACATTTGAAATCTATTAAAATGGTAAAGCACTGGATTAAAAGAAGGGTTATTCTACACCTGATTCTCAACTAACCTCCAGTACATTGTAAACAACATATAGTTTGATTGTTCCTTGACCACGAATCATGTGATAAATTAAGCTGATATCTGAAAAGGGTTTACAATATATAAAAAAAAATATTAGCTAACATAAAATGTGTAATGTGTATAAATAAGACTTGCTCACAGTTGCGGCACAAATTACTTTTTGAAGAAGAAACAACTTTTCATTGGTAGATAAAAATGAACAAAATGTGCAAAAAAAACCAACTTCCAAAAGGAGGAAAGGAATAAAATCCACAACCAACCAAAGAGAGTGGGGCGAAACAACAGCCCTAACTATATAATCCAAAATCAAGTCAAATTACCAACAAACTGACCAGGAAAACAAAAACAGGAGCGAAAGGAGGAACCCTTCCCAAATAACCAGAACCAAAAAAAAAATCTAGACAGGCCAACCAACAGTTGTGGCACAAATTTTTACTCATCTACGAAAGCACAGACACAATTTTTTGAAGAGATTATGTGAGGCACAACCATGACATGCCAAAATGCAGCTTTTGAAGAGATTTTCTCATTAAAGACTATGAAAAATAAGTTTTAAAAGAAGCAGAAAATATGCATGTAAAACCTTGGAAGGAAAAAAAAACAAAAGTTTCTCAGCAGCAACGTACAAAAAACAGAGGGGGAAACGATCAAAAGCAAATCCTACGTCACTCGGTCATAGCAGAAACAAAGAGGGAAGGATGAAACTGAAAGAGGCTTAACACTGAAATAATGCTTCTGTTTTGAGTGTTGGCAACAAATTTTAGTCATGTTATGAGGGGAATCAAATATTACTTGCTTTTCGATATTTAAACTTGCATCAAATTGAACATTGTGATTATTATCCATGAAGTAAAATTTTATATACACGACTCATAGACCTATGAGAGTAGAGTCCATAAAAAATATCTCCGACCAAGAAATCGTGAGTTCGAATCCCCAACCCACTTGTTGTACTGAATAAAAAAAGACTATAAAAAATATTAAAATCTATTTCTCAAATGTATATTTTAATCAATTGGGACTATGCTCTATGTGTCTTAAATTTTTCCACATTCGCATACCAACCAACTATATCCTAAATTTCCAAAAATGGCATATTTTAAAAATCTATCTATGTTTGAGCTTCCTCAGTACTCAAGCCACTAGTCTAATGCAAAACAATAAACAAGATATAATAAAAGTTCCATGATCTGAAGTCGTATCCCATACCCGTCAATTGTAAGAGAGCAACTCCACATGCCATTATTAAAAAGCAGCCAAAATCAGATAACTCTGCTGATGAAGGTCTTTCAAACTTCCTGTTATGAAAGCGAAAGTGTAAATTTTTACATATCATTAGTTACCTTGAGTTGAAAACATTGACAGGCAACAAGCTAATCAAAAGTATCTTGTTCAAGAAAAGAGATAACAAACAGATGCTCCACAATATTTCATAAGTTTGACTTCAAGTATCTGAATTTAGAATTCCTAGAACATATCAAAACAAGCAATTAAGCACAAAAGATACCTCTTTCACACAAAAAATGAGATCAACATGTACGTTGGTTTTGGAAGTTGAAATCAATAGAGAAAGTGAGATGAAAGAAAAACATTTTTCTTGAATATATGTTTATTTAAGTTCGGATATAAAGATCCATGTAGCATGACTTGTTTAATATCACACTACCAAGTGTAGCCTTTTAGGTACATGGCACTGGCAGCCAAAACATCTGATCATATTAACCATGCAAATGTTTAACAAAGAATAAGATGGGATGTCGTCCAACTATAAAAGAAGAATCTTGCCTTTGAGCAAGGATCAGAATTTGGTCATTCAAAGATCATATAATAAGTTTTATCATAATTATCTACTAATACATAGGACCACTAAAAGGCTAGATTCCTCAACGACTTGACTCTTCACAGGAAAATGCAGTATCTGCAGTTTCATATCAAACTTCACAAAGAAAAGGATATCGAAGCTGATAACTAACCTTGTGTTAAAAAGCCTCCAAAGAATTATCATGATCCTTGTTGGCATAACGGTTAACAATGAAAGAAATGAATCAAGGCAGACAAAGAAGCCGACATCTATGAGCTGCAACAAGTCCAAATTAGGAGTAACTATTGGAAGCAAGACTGTTCTTCCATAAAGCTCTTACCCTCAACCGACTACCCAGCCCCCCAAAAATGGGCGGGGAATGTTTAGTTTTTTTCCGGAAACAAGTATATATCAACAAAAAAAAAAACAAGGATATAACTTTAATCCATGTATCTATCAACAGAATATAAACCAACAAACGTTATAAAACAATGCAAAATACACCTATACAACACTTGAGACCAACATAATTGTCAAATGATTAGTTTGATCTAAATGATTAAAAAGCTAGTCTCAATAGAACCAAAACCATGTTCATGTACTAACAAGTTTGCAGCTCTCTAATTGATAATTATGAAAGGAGAGCCAAGGCTACCAATTCACATCTCCATGGTAAGCGAAAGATAGTATCATAAACTCTTTCTCGTTCTTTCTCATTGCCAAAGGTGGTTGTAATCCGCAATGAGTTTCCATTAAACATTTCCTCCAGGTAGCCTTTAACTGGTGACTTATCTGCAGATAACTTATCTGGAGCAAAAGATCAGTAATATGAAGAAAGCATAACAACAGATGAACTAATATTGATCACATACAGGAATCATATCGGCACACTTCCCAATTTGACTTTACTTGCATCTTCTATAGGCCCCATTTAATTAATGTGAATAAGAATAAGAGAGAATGAGATAAAAATTAATCATACTAAAAAAATTAAGCAATGAAAATAAAATTTTTAATATTGTGTTTATTATTATTTTGGATGAATTGTACTGTCAAAAAACATTCTTTGAATCCTCGCTATACTGACACAATGAAAAACATAGTCATTTTAAACAACATACACGAATTGGAAGAGATACGGTCCCTCTTCCAGGAAGAAGCACCACATTTCCAATTTGCAATAATTTGTACATGAAATTTATTTGGTAAAACTCCAATCTAATGGGTTAATCTAGATTCAAATGTACACCATAATGGGAGTAAACGATCAGAATTATTTTTTACAACAACTTTTTAGTTCTGTAAAAGCATAAAAACAGAAAGCATAGTTAGCGTTCCTCATCACTTGATTGACTTAATTTTAATGCAAACATGAGGTTGTGCTCTACTGCACTGCCATTCTTCTTTGTCGATGGAGATTTGTTCAATAAGGAAGAGATCAAAATTTCTAGTCAAAATTTTCCTACATCAAAAGCAACTAATGATATTCAACCACCTGACCACGTCTACCTCACGGAAGATGCTAAGGGAATTCATAGAGAAAATAATCATAAGTAACAAGGAAAGTTCACTTACAATTAGGATCTTCGGCCATGAGCCGCTTCCAGTCCAAGGATCTCGCAGTATCCAGTCTTGGCACCACATTTCCATTTGGCTCACTTTTTTGCTTCACTGTAGAGTTTTCTTCCACGTAAGTCTCCACGTTCCTCTCATCGCCAAACCTTGACGATGTATCATCTCCAGCCACAGCTCTTTGCCTCAACTCACCGAAACTAAACCGATCATTGCGCAAATTTTGACAATCCAGCTCTGTTGCCTGCCCCAATATAGATACGCTCCCTCTACTCTCCTCCGGAACAGGCAACTCCTCACAAACGACAGTCCCAGCAGAACAGCTCCGGTAATTCAGTTCCAACTCCAATCGATTGGTACAACTACTGTCTCTGTTCACGGAAAGTCGCCCCAAGTCTTCGGGCTTGTCGTAGACGGAATTAGAGATCATGCATTTTTCAGTGATCGGATCCTCCGGAATTGACCAATCCGTAGGTGCCGTCATCGTCGCCGTCGCCGACCCTGCCTTATTCTTCCTCGAGCCACGATGCCGCCTCTTTTTCCGATTGGGCTTCTCAATCGCATGTGGAGATATGGCTTCTACGACGCCAATCGGAATTGGATCAGACTTCGACGCAGACAACAAGGATCTGTCTTCTTCAAAGGAACTGCTTCCGCGAAGCACATCGAAAGACAGCTTTCTACCGCTGGTTCTCAATTCCATGACTGACCAAAAAAAAATCGCATATAAAAGAAGGAAAATACCGAGAATCAAAGAGTGATTCTAATCTTCCTTCCGTGCATCCCTATGAGGAAGGGAAGAGCGATTGTTTTTTGATCTGGGAAATGGGATTATGGAAATGGAAATCTAGCAATTGAAATCCAGAAAGGAGGAGGAGAAAACTTGGATTGGAATTCGAGAATCATCAATGGAGACCTAAAGAGCGACACGTACGATTCATCCAATGGAGAACGATACACAACGTTCCTCCGCCCAATCCAAATTGAGGATGAATATAGAACAAAATAGGGAAATTGAACCAAAAGAATCCGCTCTTCACTATCTACAGTTTGGCAAAATACCTTCCCTAAAACGTCCAATATACATAAATTATTTGAATTTTGAATAATAGTCCTGATTGAAATTTCGCATAGATAATGAAATATATATTAGACCTTCTCAAAATGGAATATATATACATATATTTATTCCATAAATTTCAATTTTATGGGATTTTCTATTTTCAAATCTTGCTTCTTTTTTTTCCATCAAGAAAAACAGAATCCTCATTGCTAACTAATTGTTGTTTGTTATTTTTTTTAATTTTTATCGGAAAATGACAGAGATAGCTACAACGTAACTCACCAAGACTACAGATTTCGTAGTGATCTTCATGAGGAGTCGCGCCATTTGCTTTTCAAAATGTCAAGCAAAGTCTCGAGATATTCCAAGGATGCTTCGAGGATTGGATGCATAGTGGTAACCTTAGACGTTGGACAGTCGTTTTGTAAGTATGCAATTCTTCATCACTAATCTCGAAGGAGTGTCTAATTAGAAATTCTTGAATGGGGACCGTGCGAATGACTGGAAGAAGTTGTGTGACGTCATCAAGTTGCTTGTCTGATGATGGGACAGAAGATGTTTGAAGATAATGCAGATCTATCTTTCTTTTGCTTTTGTAAAGTTGTTTGTCTGTTTGTAATTATTTCGCTTTACTTGTAATTATTTTACATTTTTTGTTAGGGTCTTGTCATTTAAAGATAAGATTCCATAAGATAGGGTGTTTTGTCCTATCTTGTTGGCCACGTCTTATCTTTACTTTCATAAAGCAGATTTCAAAGTGATAAGGTTATCGGTCAGGGTCTTGTCCTGTGACCACAAACTTATCTTTATCTGTTTTTCATGTAATCAATCATTGTCTTGGCTAGAGACTTATTGGTGTCTCAAGCTCCTATAAGTATACTCATAAGCCTCAACCAGTTATGGTATCAGAACGTTTCCTCAAAAAACTTCTCTCTTCTCTTCTTTCTATGAAGTAGTCTCCTTTTCGAGGGGAGGAATTGGGAAACATATAACCTTTTAGTGGTATGCTTTTGCCTTTTGAATTTTAAGTATGATATATCTCTATTGTTTTGTTATATCTTCTATCTATTCAATCAATCCTATTCCTCAACAGATACGATAAAATAGTATTCTAAATATCAATGTCATAGGTGGAAATCAGGCGATAAACGAACAAAAGGACTGGTCAACCTCATGAACGGGTGTTACAGATGAAATTTCCTTCTCCAAGTTCAGAATACTCTCTTATAATCTCAAAAGAATAATATTGAAGGATAAAACTAGGAGAATTAACGAAACGATGGATTTAGATCGTATGTAGAAATTTGAAGTAAAACATATTGCTACTCTAGGTATCCTATCCTCCCCTCCATATGCCTTTATGAACCCCCTTTATAAGTTTCTCTCTAAGCTCTATCTTGCTCTCTAGACAAAGGTCTTAGTTCCTTCTTCATCAAGTAAAAAACTATACATGAACACCAAGATAATGGTGAAATCGTCAATAAAAGTAGAGACATAGTGAAAATTGAAGAAGCTCTCTATCTGGAATATTCCTCATGTTCTTAAAAAGGAAATTTATCATATCAACACTTTCAACTTTGGTCAGAAAAATATCATAGAGATTGTGGAGAAAAATCTCCCTATTGCTCATGAATTTACTACTCTTGAATTTACTTACTCGGAAATCAATTTTAGAACACCAAACGAAATTCAAATATATTTATATCGGTTGCGTTCAAGTTGCTGTCAAACCTCTATTAAGAAGAGGTTTAGACAACCCTGTTTATGTTGCCTTAAAGAGACAAAAGGCACTTAAACTTTTCTGACTCTAGAAATCGTGCAATCAAACCTTAAAAAAGGACAAGCTTCTTCAAGTGTAGACCCGAATATTGCATTGCAGATGATGATCCTCATATTCTTAAAACCCCCACTCTAGATATTAAATGTAAGGGTTTAAAATCCAGAAGATGAAGTCATAACATACTCTATTATATTTAGAGTATATCACAAATTGCTTTATATCAGTTTGGCCCTAAGAGTCTTAGAAGTCTATCCGCAAGGACAGACTATGCTTATGGAGGTTAACCTTGAGATCCTTGGTTATTGTCCCAAAGCTTCTCCAATGGGATCAAATAACTAGAGATCCAAGAGTCTACATCAAAACCCTTTAAAAGACAACTAGTTGTGGATTGAATTGAAGAAAATCCTGACAGATCAATTGATGTTTATTTCAAGGAAGAAGAACCATAGTCAACGATAAAAGAGTTTATATAAAGCAAATCGAGTATGTCTGCATCTAGACCTGTAAAGCCAAAATAACAGATAGACATGTCTACTTCATTCAGGCGTAAATCACTGGATTTTGAAAAACCTATCCCTAGTATTCGTTACGAGAGATCAAAGTGATCTCTATCCCCTACTCAAATTGATATGGATACCTGAACTAGCACGAAATTCCAAATCAACGTAATAACACAAGATTCCATAAGATAAGGGTCTTGTCCTATCTTGTTGGTCATGTATTATCTTTACTTTTCATAAGTAGATTCAAAAGTGATAAGGTTGCCAGTTAGGGTCTTGTCCTGTCGGCCACAAACTTATCCTTATATGTTTTTCATGTAATCAATAATTGTCTTAGCTAGAGATTTATTGGTGTCTGAGCTCTTATAAGTATACTCATTACTGGTTGAGCAACTTGATGACGCCACCCAACTTCTTCCCGTCATTCCCACGATCGTCGTTCTAGAATTTCTAATTAGACACTCCTCCAAGATTAGGGATGAAGAATTGTGGACTTACAAAATGGCTATCCAACACCTAAGGCTGCCGCCCCACCGAATCATCCTTTAAAGTATCTTCAGATTTTTCTTGACATTTTTCCAAGCAAATAATTGCACAGCTCCCTGTGAAGATCACTGCAAAATCTGTATTCTTAGTCATAATAGGTTTTAAACATTTAATTGTGTGAATACGTCTCCAAATTTTATCTAAGTCTCTTGCGTCTTTGACATTTAAATGAAATTAAATTTTGTGTATGATAAGAATCCTAAATTTTCAATTTTTAAGTTTAAATACGTATTAGACACGAGACTTATTAAACACAGAATTAAAGTTCAAAGCTTATTTGGTATTTTTTGTTCAAAAATTTAATTATTAGTAAGAAAGAAAAAAGAAAATTGGGAGAGTGTAGAGCAAAAGGAAAAAAAAAAAAGGAAAGCGGGAAGATTTTTTTTTCTCTTTTTTCGAGAAAGAAAGTCTGAGATTTATTTGTGTGTATGAACGTAATTTTGAAATTAACCTTCTTAATTTCAAATTTCAAACTTTATTAGTCAACTCAATTTTATTTTTGTTTTATTATTATTTATTTTGCTGTAACTTAAAACAAACGGAGATTTAGAAATAAAAAAATAAAAAATGATCTATCCATTTGGTTCAAGGTTTCTTGTTTTGAGAATGAAATATACGGTTGTATATATGTTTGAGATTAAGATGTCTGAAAATAAATTTTATATATGTTTATTTTGTGTGATTATTCTAGAAAAATGTATTTATGTGATCGTAAATATTGATTATTAACGAATCAAATTTAATTCAAAAATTAAATAATATATATCAAATTATAAATTATTTTATATTAACATTCTAAATTTACAATTTAGCACCATCATCAGTTAAATGTCACAATATTGTAATATTTTAAAATATAGTCTAAATACGATTTTAATTTTTAATGTATTTTAATATTAGTATGAGTTTGACGTCTTTTGAACAACTAACAAATGAATATTTTACCAAAACGAGTATAGCTTAACACGACCTAATAATCCCAGGGGCTTTCACTTCGACACGTCTTCGAACTCACGATCTTCTGGTCAGAGATAGGTGCCTTAATCATTTGAGCTATGCTCGGTTAGTGAAGGAAAAAAATTACTATATTGGTAAATCAAATATTACAAGTTGTTTTGTCATCCATTATAATTTGCTATAAAACTATCATTATGCTCTTTTCATAAATTTTATTGTAAATTATTTAACATAAACTTAATACAACCACGTCTTTTATTTATGTAACTAAGTAGAACAATTTCAAACCACATCTTATAAGTCAAATGACTAATAAAAACTCAGCCACAAAGACTTTATTTTAGTTAAATTACAAGCTTTAGTCTGTAAGATTGCAGCTAGTTCGTGTATAATAGGTTCTTAATCTTTAAAAAATGTCTGTTAAGTCTCCAAACTTTCAATTTGTATATTATAAATTCTTAAACTTTAGAAAATATCTAACATGTCGTTAAACTTCCAAATTTTATATTTAATAAGGCATTTATCTCAAAAAAAAAGTCATTAATTTTTTTATTTATTTTGACATAACCTACGTTAAAAAAAAGCACAAACTTATTAGACACAAAATTGAAAGTTGAGAGTTCTATTTGACGAAAAATTTAATTTTATATCTAACAGATCATTTAGTTTTAAATATGATAAAATATACTTTTGCCTAAGATTTGAACTTGATTTCTATTTGGTCCACGAGTTTACAAGACCATCATTTTTGGTCCTCTAGGATTTAAATTTAGTTTCAACCGGGTCCTTGAAATTTCAAAAGTGACATGTTTTGTTTCTGAAGTTTGAATTTAGTTTCTAATTGGTCCCTAAAGTTTGAATTTGGTTTCTAATTGGTTCTTAAGTTAAGTTGACATAAAAACATTCTTCATTTTCTTTTACCTAAAGTCTAAGTCAACATAATATCAATTGTAACAACTGTTGAGTGTGTTGTCCTAAACTCGTAGTTTGTAATTAATATAAAAACAAATTTATATTCAATATAGTTTTATTCAATCAATTTGTTGTTGAATTCATAGCATTGCATTGTCTAAATCCAATAAACTAAATATCCAATGTTATTATATGTAACCGGGACAATATATATACTGGGTATATATTTGATATACTCTCGATATACAAGTGGATAATGTCTCAGGAATAATCTAAAGGGTCTATAGTATATGGATAAGGCTGCGCACCTTATTCTGACAACACTATGGATACGGCCCACTTTGTAAATATTACAGACGACCCGATCCAGGTCGTTCGTGTGGAGACATGCGAATGAGGGTATCCTATACAATGAGTTTGTATAAGACCGGACCACGAAATAGTCGATGTTTATATGTAACGCCGTTGACTAACAGATTGCTATTTCATAGGATGACTAGACAACTCATTCTCAATCCTGAGTGAGTTATGGACTCATGTCCGTGAGGGCTCGTTCTTTGATCTGTATGGGTAAGAGTGGTCCGAGTTGCCAACTCAATATTCCTACCATTTTGGGGACGAGACCGAGTGGGGAGCTGGGAACATAACTTCACGAGATGGAATTCACTTCTCCCCAACTTTCGGGAAGTAGATGAGTGTTCTCTTAAATGCTGACTCCAGGACTTGAATAAAGGGCTCCATCCTCTCACTGGCTCGAGATGGACTTTCGGTTATTGGTTAGACCATAACTGGGTTGATCATTAGAGGACCAGTGGTATTTAAGGAGTAAGATGTAACTCAAGGATAAAATTGGTAATTTGACCCAACTTGAGTTACGAGCACTCGTGAAGGATTGACTTGCCATTAATGGTCGTATATCCGTAGACACGAAAACATTCTGCAGTGAGAAGAGTGCAGCTGCGAGTCTTTAGTGGAGTGACCCGTAGTTAACGAAAGTTGATTAACTCGGTTAATGAGTTTGACCGATTAATCTCGTATCGTTGGAGCTTCTGATCTGTAGGTTCATTAGGTCCCCTTGCTAGCTCACAATGGGTAAAAGAAAGATAATTTTTTTTGGAAAAATTTGAAATGTTCAAATTTCTCAAGGGATTATATATATGTATATTGATACATTATAATATATAGTTAATTCTAAATTAAAAAACTATATATTATTAGAGAAATTTTTTGAATGAGATTCAAATAAAATCAATATGAATAGGATTCATATTAAAACTATAGTTTAAAAATAATGTGCATAAGATGTACATTATAACTATAGGTTATACGAGAGAAATACTTTTAGAATATGATTCTATTTTGATAATAAATAATTAAGTGTTAATTATTTATTTAGTTAATATATCTATATATATATAATTAATCCATTATTAATTAATATGATTAATTAATAGTTACTATTAATTATTAATATTATTATAATAATAATGTTAAAACACTCCCTTGCACGGGAGTGGGTTTTTTCTTTTCTTCTTGTTTTTTTTGTGCATAATGGTTTTTTCTCTCAAATCTCTCTCTCAATTCTCTCTGGGTTTCCAATCGTTGTTCCCACCAGCAAAGATGCTCACTAGAGACATTTTTCTTTTCCATTTGTGGGTTTGGTTCCTCAAAATTCAAGAACTAGATCTCCGTTTCCACTACGGGATTAACGTCCCTTCAACATCTCTATTAGGTTAACTAATGCCAACTCAACTCAAGAATCCATAAGAAACCAAACTCAATACTACTAGACACTGCTATTTTGTAACGTTTCTATTTCTTGTTTCTCGTTTCTAATTTTCTTAAGAAATATAAGCATTTTGCAACTTATATAGAAATTTTAGAAACGTTCTCAAAATTATATAGAAATTTTAGAAACAACACAAACAAATTTCTTCTATCATATCCTTATTTCCAATTTATTTCAAAACATAAATAAAAAGCTTGTTTATTATATTTGAACTTATGATGTTGGGGTCATGCAATTTATTTTTCTTTATTAAAAATGACGTTAACAAACATGCTCTTAAATTTAACATATTAGATACTTTTTAAAGGAACGTTGCAAATAAAAGTGCTACTTGTAATTTAACCTAAGTGGACTAAAAAAAGCGGAAAAAATAAAATGGAACATTAAAAATTTTAAGAACCTACCAAAAAAAAAAAGGAATTTGAATCCATTTTGATTTTACCTCCCGGAATGCGGTTTGGCAATGGGAATCATATCGTTGGTGGGGAAACTGTGATATCGGTTACTGCCATTACAGCCTTCAGTTTCGTCCTCACGAGGAAGCGAATTCGCCATTTGAGCTTCTTTTTCCTCGCTAAGGAAAAGCTCTGCTTCTTCCACACTCGAGGAATTGTCGTCCAGATTCCATGGATGACCGTACACCATTTGATACAGACCTTCGAGCTCTGCGGCAACTTCCTTCATCGTCGGCCTTTCTTCTCCCTTCACTCTCAAACACATCTTTGCCAGGCTCGCAACTTCCTTCAATTTCTCGAATTCGACACCGCCGCCAAGAGTTTTGTCCAAAATTTCTCCGAGCCGATTCTGTTTCAGAGCGAGAAGGAAGTACATCGATAGATTCCGTTCTTCCTCGGATCGGCTGAAGGAGAGAGGAACTTTTCCGGTCATCAATTCGACGAGCACCACGCCGAAACTGTACACATCGCTCTTCTCTGTTAATTGACTGGTTTGGAGATACTCTGGATCTAGGTATCCGAGAGTTCCTTGAACGATCGTGGACAGATCGGCTTGATCTAAGGGGACGAGTTTCGAGGCGCCAAAATCGGAGACCTTCGCGGTGAAATTTTCGTCGAGGAGAATGTTTGTGGACTTCACGTCTCTGTGAATGATCGGAATCGTGGCGGAAGAGTGAAGGTAAGAGAGAACTCCGGCGGTTTCCGATGCGATCTTCAGGCGGATTTTCCAAGGAATTGACCGCGGCGATTTTTTCCTGTGGATGTGTTCGAAGAGCGTGCCGTTGGAGACGAATTCGTAGACGAGAAGCGGAACTTCTTCTTCCAAGCAGCAGCCTAAGAGTCTCACCGCGTTTCTGTGGTTGATCTGCGAGAGAACGACGACTTCGTTGATGAACTGTTTGTTCTGAGTTTTGTCGACAATCTTCGATTTCTTGATCGCGACGGCGGCGCCGTTTGGGAGGATTCCTTTGTAGACTGTTCCGAAGCCGCCTTTGCCGACGATTCGGTCGTCGGAGTAATTGTCGGTGGCTTTCTGCAATTCCTCTGCCGTGAAGATTTTTGCAGATTGTGCGGCTTCGTCTCTGATTGAAAGCTGCTGCTCCAACATTAGGCCTCCGTTTCGTTCGAAGAAATTGGCCTTCAGCTTGATGAGCTTCCATCTCTTGAATCCGATGTAGAACCAAGAACAAGTCACTAGCAGCGCCAAGACGCCCACGCAGATTCCTGTGAATTCAACATTAATTGTGAATTAAGAACAGTGATTCCTCCAGAAAACAAAGAAAAAGAAAAGGAATCGTACCAAGAGCTAAAAGGAGGACATGAGAGCGGCGGCGGCGAACGCAGCCGTCGCCGTCGTATCTGCCATTGCCGGAGTATCCATCAGGGCAAGAACATTTATAACCTCCTTCCGTATTAGTACATAAATCCGTACACTCGTTTGCATTACGATCATCACATTCGTTGATGTCTGTACAAATTAAACAATAATTACTCCTTGGGTTATTATATATATATATATATATAAATGACCATGAATTTTGTGCAGCGAAATGCAAACAAAAGTTTCATATTCGCCAGAGAAGATTTTAATATATAATATATAAGATATGATAATTATCTCGATTTTTTAGATGAAACACAGAGATATTATATGGAGATGCCTAGAGTAGTAGGGATATTCTTGTCCTTTTACATTTTGAGGTTAGTTTTTAATTCTACCTTTATCACCTAAAAAGTTTGAGTACTGCCCTTTACCTTTAAAATTGATTTAAATATCTTTTTGAACAATTTTCAACGTTGATAAAAACAGAAGTGGTTATTGAGTTTATGATTTTTAGAAAATGAATGACAAATACATGAAAAGCATGTACCTGTAACTACCAGACAATCACTCAAATTGAAAGTGAGTTAAAAAATGAACGGACGAACGTGACGTGAAAAGTGATTGTCTAGTGATTATTAATACTTGCCACGTTTATTTTTTAATGATTTTTTAAAAGCCACGGCTACACCACTTCTCTATTTACAATTGAACAACCATGTCAATTTACAATACTTGTTTTAATAGTATAAAGATTGTTTAGTAGCACGTTTGAATCAATTTAAACGTCAAGAGTAGATTAGTTAAAAATTTTTGGTGTAATTGAAACTAACATCAAAGTTCTCCAATAGCAAAAGAATACATCATCGCAAGTCAATCCTATCATAGAATTGTTCAACCAAAAAAACACTTTTCTTTAGAGTTATTTAAAGAATTACTAAGAAACATTATTATTTTAAATGGAACCTATGACAGTAACAAAATGATTTTGATCACGCTAAAAAATCACTTTCATTTAAATTTTAAAGGTGTGTTTGGGAGTAATGATACGTAGAAGAAGTGATTCTAAAAAAATAGATTTAAGATGATTTTTCAAAATCACCACCCAAATGACACTTTAAAAATCAAATTTTAAGTGATTTTATGTTTTCTTAAAATCAATTTTTTAATTTGCCAAATATGATTAATGGAAATGATATTTTGACAATTGCAAAAATGATTTGGCCATATCAAAATCACTCCCAAACACACTATAAGTAATACGTTAAAAATTCTATTTGAAATGATTTTTAACCTTCCTAAAATAAATTTTTAGTTTGTCAAATACCGGAGTAATTTTGACAATTGCCACACCCAAAATCACCTCCAAATAGAGTTCAAAGTGGTTATTAAATGAGTAGATTTCAAAAGCACCTTGAATTATCATGTCCCCCAAAACCACACCCTAAAGTTCGTACAAAAGAGAACATAGAGAGTTGAAAATTGTTGTACCTTGACAACCAACATTGGGCAAATATGGATTCCCAGTGAACCCCTCCAAACAGCTGCAGCGGTGGCCCCCCAAAAACCCTGGGTTGTCGCAGCGGCTGTTTCCCTGACACGCATTCCTCCCGCCACCTACGGCCGCCTCGCACGGCCCGTCGCCCACCGCCCAATCCAAAACCATCGGAACCGTGGTGTTCGGAAACTTTGGAATGTATGCCGATGAGAAGTTGAACTCCCTCTCCTCCACCACGAAGCTGTACCCACATGAATATATATCCGACCCATTTGATATGTCGTTTCCTTCCTCCAATGTTATATTCATCTGTGTTTAACACATACCATTTTCATATGTTTATAGATTCGAGAGGATTAAATTGATGATAAAATATGAAAATTAAAAGAATTTACCTACAAAATATAGATATGTATAGCTTCATGGAAGTTTATACTTTTCAATGATTAAACTCAAAATTTCACTAAAACCTAAGAAACGTACCAAAAAAATGAAAGAAATTGAAAAGTTACAACATTTAAAAAACATTATAGGTTAAAAATTAAATATATTTGCAAATACTTAAATAAGTGTTACAATCACCTTAAATTTGAATTACCTTTTTGATCAATTTCACCGAAAAGAATCGTTAGAAAAATACTCTCAATCTACGTTGTATGAATTATATAAAAAAAATATGTTAATAGTATTTCGGAGAAAAACAACATTATTTTTTTTACGAATTATTATTTATTTTTATAACTTTTTTCATAAATTTCTAAATTATCATCCACCCTTATAAATTTGAGACCTTCGAATGCGCATTGATATTTAAAACCTTGCCTCTTTCAATCCGCCAGGGATCATCATTTGACAGCACCCGACGCCAGAGCATGACCCATTCACTATACTTCGATAACCACTGCAGAACGATGCACATCCCGCAATGTAACTTTCGCCGTCCCGGAGGGCACCACCGATCATCGAGACCGTGCTGCAGCCGACAACTGTAAAGATGTTCCTCGTCGAGATGGTAAACTGGTCGACGTTGAGAAAAGCTTCTTTGTGGCTGCCAAAGGTATTCCCATTAGCATCAAAACAATAACTGGCCACAAGAGTCTCGATGACCAACTCGCCATCTTCGATCGAAATACTCACGACCGGAACGTCGCCAATGAACGGCTTGCTCGGGTTAAGCGAGCTGTTGCAGGTGATGAGAAACGCCTCACTGAAAGAACATTCAGGAGTGAGTCCAAATGGGTACGGAATCTCCACTTCGCCGCACCGGTCCGTGCAATTGGGGAAGGTGATCGGCAACTGTCGAGGAAGAGCTTCCGACGCTTCAGCATCATGGCTCGCCACGGCGGCCATGATCAGCAGCACGATGTGGGAGAATGTTTGCATCTTCCATAAAAAAGAAGCCATTGATGTGTGATATGCTTGAGAAGTTGATGATAAAAGTTTACATACTCAACAGATTAGATATATGAAGGTAAAGGAAATAAAAAGCTTGGATTATAATTTTATAAGTCGTCGCTGGCCGGTTATTAAGTATTTAAAGTTTATGGTAATTAAATTTAATTATGAAACTTAATGAAGACGACAAGCTCAGCTCTAATTTTCTGACAATTCCAACGACATGGGATGAAGATGTCGTTCTCTTTCTTTGGTAATATCTCATCCAGCCTTTTTCCAAGCAGGAGACCTAAAAATGTATACAAAGTTTTGTTTTTTTTGAAGAGAAATTTACACATAATTACAAATATTTTAACTTATGACCATGTCATTGGATCTAATCTTTGTTTTTGATGGTGATTAGTGGGTATATATAAAATTTGAAAAATACATCTTCCTTGATCTATTTCTATCGAATTTAATAAAGAAAATGTTTGACTCGGATCTATATTTTTATTGATCTATTTCTATCGAATTTAATAAAGAAAATGTTTGTAATTGGTTGAAGGTGTTCTAGTCCCTACCCCTAGCATAGGGGGAGACTCACTCTTTGTCTATGGTATATTCTACTTTTTATACGCGCATATTCTATCTCGTCTAGTCTCTTTAGTTTTGAGGAGCTCATGACTAAGAGTTTTTACCGCGGAATGTGGCTTTGACGGAGGGAATTGGGCTTCATTAAATGAAATGTTTCGTTGGTTCAATTTAAGGGGTTTAATTTTTCGGAATCGACCAAATCGAAAAAATGATAGGTTCAAAATCATATTGTTCATTGGGAATTGATGAGGGAAGAAGGACGACATGAAACGATTCATTTTGATTTCTTGTTATCATCGAATCATTCATCGTTAAGATGGATTTGGCCTTGCACGATCAATGAAATTCATACTAATGCTTGGACTTGTCGCAAGCTAATTTGAAAATGAAAGAAGTCTATCGAAAGCCTTTAGTATTTATCGCATGAATCACAAATTGATCATTTAAATAGTTCATTGAAATTTTTTGTGGTGACCAGTAAAAATTCAAAAAATTAGTCCCGACTATAGAAGTTGTTATAATCATATAATGAAAAAATATTAAAACATAAAGAGACGAAATTGATTTTTTTAAAAAATAATAATAGGGACGACCTTGAAAAAATATGGAATACATATTAGTGACTAATACACTTAGCTTTTAAATTATGGAAAATACTGAAAATGAATCTTGTACTTACCACCATTAAATATTTGACAACTAAGAGAGGAAATGCAAAAACAAGGAACTTTTTATAAAAATTAATGAGTTCTCAAATTTTCAATAATGGTGAGGAAAAAGTTTGGTCCTTAGTGTTAAGGAGCCAAAGTATTTTTCTTAAATTATAACTAGAATTTTGTATTTCCTCGGTGAATATAGAGATTATAATTCACTCGAAGTAATATAATAATTACAATCCCTTCTGCCAAGCCGATATTAAAGCCAAAGCGAGCATGACTCAGTGGTAATTGACATATATCTCCAACCCAGAGGTTGTGAGTTCGATGAATAAATTTGGAAATGGAAACAAGAAACAAGAAACTTGTTTGAATTGTTTCTAAAATTTCTACGCAATTTTGAGAATGTTTCTAAATAATAAGAAACGAGAAACATAATTAATTGCGAGAAATAAGAAATGATAACCTTACCGAACGAGGCCCAATATTGACTCCAAAAACTGTTATGGATGAATAAACCACCTCCAACAAAAAAAGCTTAAATTAATGAGTTGAGTAGAAGTTTATATTTTATATATTGGATATCTAACACTCCTCAGCTCACTTGTGGGTTTGGATAATTACACAAAACCCAATAAGTGGAAATCATTATAACGGGTGAGGAAATAACAATGTAATGATTCAAATACAAGATCACCCGCTCTGCTACCATCTTAATATTTAGGGGTTACATCTCAAAATCAATTGGCTATGAGGAGAAGCTCACTTATATTATAAACTCTTTGTTAGGATTGTGGCTATTTTGACTCATTGATTTTGGTCGAATCCTATTTTGGATCAGATCATGCTAACTTTTGAGCTCTTGTACCATATTAATAGTAAAAACACATTTAAATTATAAGAGTCATCATAATCATAACTCTCGGAACGTTATTCTAATCAAATTATGATTTAAACTTACTTATTAACTCTTAAATATTGCAAAAATGTACCAATTACCATTAAACAAATTGTTGCATGCAATCAAACTTTAAAACTATAAATTATTGTTACATCAAAACCAATTTTTTTCTCATTTCTACCAAATTTGAAATCAAAGGTGATTGATCAAAATTTTGAAAGTTTCGAAAGGGTGTTATTGTAACAATTCCTAAAATTCATGAGTGAGATAGAGGTTAAAATCTCCCACATAACACTGAGAATAAGAACAGTGTCTCTAAACTTTCTCGTCCCATTGTCATCCCTAATTAAATTATTACAGTTTGAGTAGTTAATTGGGTGCCTAAAGCTCATCTTTTCACGTACAATAATGATCTCCATTATATTAATGGTCAAATTTGGTACATTTTTCAGTCCTCTTATAATAAAATGCTATAACCCTTTTTTGATTCAACAAGCAAATTTATACAACAAAAAATACTAAGCATAAAATTTAGGTAATAAATTAGAAAGAAGTCAGCGATTAAGAACTTTTATATTGAAATTTAACAGATCCAAAGGCAATAAAATGAGACTTTTTTCACTTTCATTCTCTGGTGGGAAGTTTCAGAAACAGTTCTATTTGATCTTCTTCTCTTTATTATTTTTTTTTTTTTGCTTTTGGTCTGATCATGATCCACCCCATCATCTTTACAAGAGGGTTTCCAAATTCAATCAAACAAAAATAATAATCTAAACCAATATCATATGTTCATATATCCGCCATGAAAGCCCATCTCCAAGAGCTCGGGCCAGCCATCGGACGCGAAATCAGTGGTAGCTTCGCTGTAGGTCGCCGCCTCCTCCTCCTCTAACTCCCCCAATCTTCATCTCTCTGGTGACTCCGCGAAGAGTAGAGAGAGGAAGTATTTGAAGTATAATGTGAGTTCGACGTGACAATCAACTGTCGGAAACCTAAACCTTCCCCTCCTTTGCGGGCAATATCCCATCAACCTTCACAGCCTTTGCCACAGAGTTGGTCCCTTTCGATGGTGCCGAGGACGGCGATGGAAGCTTCTTTGGCATCATTTGCTCCCAATACTCTCTTGGCACCCTCGCCGCCTCCGAGACAGTGGCGAGGGCGATAACAACAGCCGTTAAGACCAGAATGAATCTAAACTTCGAAGAAACTAACATCATGAATAGTACTAGCTAGTGAGGGGTTTCGATTTCGGCCCTGGTTCAAAAACCGAGGAGAAATCAAGGGTTTTGAGAGATGTTGGGAGGAGACATGGTGAGTAATGTAAGGGAGTTGCCAACTAGTTTTGTTGTAAAAAAGGAGTGACAATGGCAGACAAAAGAGGAATTTATTATTGTTGCCTATCATGTAGCTCATGTTATGCCTTTCATTACCTAATTCCAGAGGGAATTATGAAGAAAATGAGATTCAGGGAAGTTTTATTGAAGCTTTATAAAATATTCTGAAATGGGAAAGTTGAAGATATATTATATAGTTAATTATATTTTCATATGATTATGATTTTTTTTTTAATTTATGGTTTTGAGGGTAAGAAATCTTTGCTGTCAGATATTTCTTTTTGGTTTTAATTTTTCTAAGTGTGTGATTTAAGTAGTAATTATGAGTTATGCCACACGTAGAAGTTTAGCTTTGCTTTACTTTAAGAATGATTAATGTTGTGTGTTTTGGCATATTTTTAATTTAAAGTTTTTTCTTGGACATTTTAATTTTAAAGTTATGCTTTTAGATTATTTATATATTCTAATGTCACAACAATTTTTTAGTTATTTTAGTCTGGTCTCTAAAAGTTCACAAAGTAATCTTTCAAATTTTGGAAATAACGCTGTTAAAATTAAATCTTTTGACAAAATAGTGGCATGACTCAGTGTTCTCGTTGTCAAACATTTACGATTTTGAATACCAAAAATTTTAAGGTAATATATATTTGTTTTAATTTTTCTATTCAAATTTTAAGGTAATACAACAATTATTCAAACACAAATTAAATGGATAAATATTAGGTGACAAAATAACAGCAAGATTGTGAATATGGTTATATTTTTAAAATTAAAATGAACTCTTCGTTTGATGTCAAGAAAGTTCAAGAAATGATTTTAAATTCCGTGATTTGAAATCTAAGAAATGATCTAAAATTCTTTAGGTTGTTTGAAGCGATAATGAAATGAATATGTTTAAATTTATTTCTTTGATATTCAGGAAAGGAAAAGAAAATAAAAAGTTTACTGATGTATGCCTTTTTAATCTAAATTTATTAATTAGTAAATTAAAATATGACAAAATTAAATATGTAATTTACTCTGAAGTTCTATAAAATCCTGCAAAATCCCACCATTTTGATCAAAATTTTTTTTTACATAAATACACGATTTCAAATCATTCAAAATACTGAGGTACCAAACAAACCATTTAAAATCCCTCAAAATCCTAATATACCAAACATGCCCTAAATAAGACACATGTTAAAAGTTGGTGGATCAAAATGTTCATCTTTTAAAAATTTAAGGACTAAAATAGACATTGCGAAAGTATAAAAACCAAAATAAACCAAACCCGAAAAAATTTGGTAGCAATAAAATTGAATCCTGAAAATTGATACCCAACAATCTTTTAATTAGCTTATCATTAGTGTATTGCTTGCAAGGCAGCATTAAATTAAAGGCTAAAACAAAACCACTCAACTCCATGAACATGTAATATTATTAAAACAATTATTTTGTGGTTCAACAAAAAGGAATTTTCTAAGGTTGTGGTTGCACAAACAAAGGAAAGTTGTTCCAAATTAAATAAGGTTTTGATGTTCTTGAGATGGGCAACAATGGAAAAAAGAAGCAGATTTTAAAAGTTTAATGGAGTTGGATCAAAAGGAAGCAGTTTTTGACACACTGTTGTATGCCATTTAGCCAACACAAGAAAATTATTTTATGCCATAAAGTTTTCTACACCCATCACCACTCTGAGTGAGAGATTTCAAGTACTCTGATTTAAATATTATTTTGGTAGTTGAACTTTGATTCATATGCACCCCTATTTTTGTTCATTTTAGTTCTTGTTTGGGTCCGGATCATTTATTTTAATTATAATTTTAATACGATACTTTACTCATTAAATTTCTTGAAATATAACTATAAATTTGTATTCTATGGTTTCTATTGTGTATAAAATGCACGTTAACTAAGAAAGATCAAATTGATCACTTTTTAAAAGTTTATGGACTAAAATAGCGTTTTGAAAATAGAAGGGTTAAAATGAATAAAACTGAAGAGTACATCAACTAAAATAAATCAAAGTTAAAAATATATGTACTAAAATAGTATTTAAATCCATTGATAAATGAAGTCATTGTAAGGGGAAATACCTTTTGTTTGAATAAATAATGGGTTAAGCTTTTATTTTTATATATGATATTTAGAAGAGAAGGGCATGTGGGTTTCTATAGTATATTGTTGTTCTTCATTTCTTTTTGGGTATGGAACTTTTGTTCGATGAATATATTTTGATGTTCATCATTACTTTCAACGTTTAATGATATAAAGATTCAACTAAAAAAATTCAAAACATTAAAGACAATATTATAAATTTAGCACTTGAGACAATAGACAATTTAGCTACGGTCATTTTAAAATTCACTATTTATTTGTAAATGTTGTTTTATACAACATGTGGGGATTAAATTTACAACCTCTCGGTTTAAGATATATGTCAATTACCGCTGACCTATGTTCACTTTTGACTATTTGTAAATGTTTCAATTTCACCGATCATATATATATGCAATGTTGTGACATCAAAATACCTTTTATTGGGTTATAAATACTAAATGTTTTGATTTGATGAATAGAGACATGCTGACCCATAAATTTTCAAACATCCTCGTTTCATATGGCTTGACGCGTAATATTCGTACATAACTTGATATTATTGAATGGGGTCAGAAAGGAGGTTCAAAGATAGTGGCAAATCCAAAATTTATGTTAAGAAGACATATAAATAATTTTGAACACATCGATAATAGGTTAAATTACAAATTTTATCCCTCTAATTGAGGCAAAGTTTTAATTTGGTCTCTATGATTTTAAATTGGTCTCTATGATTCAAGATTAGCTTCAATTCAAGTCTATATAGTTTAAACTTAGTTCCAGTCTATGATTCAAGATTAGCTTCAATTCAAGTCTATATAGTTTAAACTTAGTTCCAGTCCAATCCCTATGGTTTGGTATCTCGCCGGTTGTATATTTTAACCACCCAAAAAATTCATCTATTTTCTTTTATTTTTTTTTTCACTCGACCCTAAACCTTAATACACTCAACTAATATAGTTACCTCGATAGAAGACTACTATGTAAAAAATAATAATGTTTGAATTGAACTATAAGAACTCTAACTGAAACTTTTAAAACCATAAAGTTGAAATTGAAATCAAGAACAAACTAGGGCAACTAATTTGACTTAAAAACCAAATCATATATTTAAGAGTCTATAAATATAGAATTCTTTAACTAAAACTGATGTCCACAAGAGGAGACAAAATAACAGCTGATAAAAGTTGGTAAAAGACAACTAAGATAGTAAATGTATTATGAACACAATCAATCTCGGATCCAATAAGAAATTGTTCGTTTGAAAATTTCCCAACGAATTTACAACGATTATATAATCATATAAGAATATAAACATTATATATTATATATATATAAAAGGCAAATATATGCAATAAATTGCTCGACTCATGAACCCAGAAACAGCATACATACACATACACAACCCAAACGCTGGCTTCCCTATTCCAAAAGATAATTTGGTAATATTGATAATTCTTCAATCTGATGCAAAACCTGATGGGCTAAACACAACTTTATAATCTGTACCGACACCATAGAATTCATCTTTACTAAAATGTTCAGAAAGACCGGTTTGGATTCGACGATCCAGATGACCGAGCTTTGGCGAAATCAACCAGATCTTTGAATAGCACATCTTCCGACTTTTCCTGTTTAGTTGGAGTTGGGGGATTGAGAGAGAGGTTCTGGGTCTGTCCAACTAAGCTGTCGTATGAGGAACCCGACCCGCGAGCCTCATGTTGGTCAAAAAATTGCTGTCTCTGACCGAATTTCGATGGTGGAGGTGGAAGGGTGGAGGGGCTTTGGGGCTCCTGCAAGCCCCATGATGCCGTGGGATTTGGTTCATCATACACAGGTTGTGATGAGATGGAGTGTTCCACATGGGAGACGGGTGAAGGAGATGGTGGGATTGAAGTTGCAGTTGAGTGAACTGGAACCGTACGTGAAGTTTCGGAAGCTTCTGATTTGTAAGTATCACCACTAAGGTAATCAACCATGCTGCTACCTGCAAGAACTGGCTTCTTTGATGATGGCGGAGGAGGTAGAAGAGGTCCAACTCGGGTCGATTCAGTACTACCATTGGCTGGTTTTCTGCTCTGTCCTTGAGAATTGTCTCTAGATGATCTGCAACAAATACAATACGTTTGTTCGAACTTCTGCTACGAAGATATAAAATTGAAAGAAAGTTAAAGCATATAGGACTCGTGAAGGTGTTTGGGGGGGGGGTTTGAATTTTGGGACTTTGGCTTAAATTCCAAACTCATGTTTTATCCCATTCGTTTAGTCAAGCCCGAGGTTTACTTGTTTGTATTTCAACAGTACCCGAAACCTGCCCCTCCCCAAATTCATTTCCTTTTCTAAACCCAAATTTTTTAAACCTGCACCTCAAACACAGTTTCCTAAACCCTCCGCTCAAACTCCTAAGGTTAACATTCTTAGGCTTAAGATGTCGAACCCACCCCATAGTTGCATCCAACAATCATATCCAAACTCCTAACAAGAATTAACTATTCTAGCCTGATAAAACTATGAGAAAGATGGTAAGTACTGAGCAGAAAGACATATGGAGATCATCTCGAATAGAGAATTTTAAAAATACCTCCGAGCTAACTGAGCAAAATCATCTTCTGATTCATCATCCTCATTGTTGATAGTTACAATTGGAAGAGCTGATGATTCAGCTCCTGTTGTTTCTCTATTAGCAGTTCCATTCGCAATATCATCATGCTGTTTAATCACTCGCTGCAGAGTATCATTCAAAGCCAATCCCTGACATAAAAGTTCCTCATCTCTGGTAAAGTGAAAACAATAATCAGCAGAAAGAATATGAATTTCGAACAACAAAGAATTTGATCTTTTCTTTTGTTTTCTTTCCATAAGTAAACTTAATAAAAATACTTTGATTTTAAGCGCTTAAGTAAAAAATACTTAAAAAACACTAATATTTGGTTCTACATTCTTAACAATAGATCATTATACAAGCGCTGTCTCATCAAAGCACTCCTAAGTGCTTCTGATTTTTTCTAGAAGCACTTATATATCACTTCCAAATATGATGATTTTAAGTAGGAAGTGTTTTTTGGACACAGCAAAAGTGGTACTCCAGACCTACAAGAAAACACTAACCCGGTACTATTTACAAGCAGCATGACACGCTTTTGATATGACCGGCACTGGTCAACAAGGTCAACAATCACTTCTTGCTTTACACCCTGTCATTGTGTTGAGTCATTAGAAAACCAAAAATGGAATGGAAGTTTTTGTTTTCTCAAGTTTTACTAAAATCACATGCACATGAAAATGTTGAATTGCATTGATAACGGCATTATTAGTGCCTGCCTAAAGGAGAATTTCATTTGCCTTATTCCAAAAACGACAAAGGTGGACAGAATCCGAGATTATAGACCAATTAGCCTTTGTTCTTCTATTTATAAGTTACTGGCTAAAGTCTTAACGGAACGTCTTAAGAAGGTTATGCATTCCACAATATCGATCAATCAAAGTGCATTCATTGAAGGAAGGAATATCCTTGACCCAATTTTAATTGCCAATGAAGCAGTGGAAGACTATAAGGCTAAAAAACGCAGTGGATGGTTGTTAAAGTTAGACCTAGAAAAGGCATTTGATATAGTTGATTGGGACTTTCTGGATGATGTTCTTAAACAAAAACAGTTTGGGAAGAAATGACGTAGATGGATCGATGGTTGTGTGTGGGGAACTAAATTCTCCATCTTTATCAATGGAAGGCCAAGGGGTCGAATTTCAGCCACTAGGGGATTGAGGCAAGGTGATCCCCTTTCACCTTTTCTCTTTCTGTTAGTAGGGGACTTCTTCAGCAGTATTTTGGACAGCATTCATTCGGGAGGTTTCTATGAAGGGTTCGTGATTGGCAAGGACAAAGTCCATATCTCCCATTTGCAATTCGCAGATGATATTCTCATTTTCTGCAAAGATAATGACAATATGTTGGACAACCTTATTCAGGCCATTAAAACTTTTGAAAGAATGTCGGGTTTCTCTGTCAATTGAGGAAAGTCGGCGATTTGTGGTATTAATTTGCAAACTGAAAAAGTTAGAAAAAGGGCRGAATTTTTKAATTGTCTGACTGCCTCTCTTCCACTTCTATATTTAGGAMTTCCTTTGGGTGGYAACCCGAGATCAGCAGCATTTTGGAGCCCTATTGTRGAGAAAATTGAAAAGAAATTGGACAGATGGAATCGGTATCAACTATCGAGAGGAGGTCGTTTAAYGCTTTGTAAGTCTGTCCTTTCTAATTTGCCTCTCTATTATATGTCCTTATATCAAATGCCAGCGGGAGTTTGTAAACAAATTGAGAAGAAAATGAGGTCTTTTTTGTGGAAGAG